ACTCACTATGATCTCTGGAGGTGGTCCCTATGATAAGCCCCAGACCAGGAGGGGGAAAGGCTGAGGGGAGGCAAAGCAGCTTGTCTACTGTCTGATCACAGGACCTTCCCTTAGGAAGCTGCCTCGACCAGGAAGCCTCTGAAGGAAAAAGCAACAACAGGAGGTTTCCCGGGCCAACAGGGTTAAACCCCAGTGGCAGAGCTCAGCATCTTCCAAGTTAGTCAAGTGACCCCTTTCCTATCCCTCTATAAATACGCGAACGGCAAGGGTCCGTCTTCTGGGGTGCACCTGGGGCGTATCTGCAGTGCTCAGGCCAAGCACCCCCTCCTGAGACCGCAAGACTCTGAGGGACCCCGTGTGTCTTGATGGCTGTGTGGTGCTCTGTGTGTTCTGTGTGCCATTTATCCTCATCTCTGGCTCAACAGTGAGGCAGGAAGAGAAGAGACAAGACAGGTTTAGTGGATGTAACACAGAGGGCTCAACAGACTCAGGTCCAGATAGGATAAGCTCAGGGCAGCTAACGGATGTGATCAGCCAAGACCACATGGCTAATAAGCAGCAAACACCAGCATTCAAACATAGGCCGTTATGCCTCCAAAGCCTAAAATCCAGTGATGCGTTCTCTTAAATACCCAATATATATCTGATACAGCAGATGTGTGTGTTCATTGATCCATCACTCACTCACTAACCCTACAAACATTGAGCTCCTGTCACATGCAAGCAAGGATAAGCATCCCGTCAGCCAGAAAACCGTGAACATCGCTAACCCGGTTACTGGTTAAGAGCTGAGGAGTAAAGCATCGGATCGTACACTTGCACTTTGCTCCTAGTTTTACAGAAGCCCCTAGGGGACGATAATGAAGGCTCCGACAGCTTTATGCTATTCCCTGTGTTACTATCGCCCTCTGCTGAAACGGAACACGGCACCTACGATGGAAATCATACCACTAGCCTGATTTCATTCCAATAGTCAAAATATAAGAAAACACGTAAGCCCGACTGGTTTGGCCCATTTTACAATTATTCTCTTTTTTACTG